GACGACCCGCTCTGGAGTATTCGGGGGAGCCTCACATGCACGCAGGTGGAGATCTGGGGATCTGCGCGGGCCCAGTTGGGCCTCCCGTCGTTTCTGCGGAGGCGACCTGGCCGTGCTGGAAGGAAGCCTTCTCCACCGACGTTGTTTCCTCTGGCTAAGAGCAAGTGCTACTTGGACGAGGGGGCGCTAACTTGTGAGACAGAAAAGGCATTCACACTGGCGCCGCTTTTTGGACATGTCAGGGACTCCCTACGCGTCGGGCTGGACGACCGCTGCGAGGGGGATCCGTTCGGTTGTTAGCGAGTCTGGACTTTCACGCGATATGTTCGATATCAACTCTGCGAGGAAGCACTTTGCAGGATCTTTGTTGTCGCTGGAGATGCCAGCGGATCCAAGTGTGCTCATGTGCTGCCAGCGCTCCATGGACCCAGGGCTCCACAATGTGACTCTGGACATCGACCAAGCTTTTGAAAGCTGCTAAGGCAATTCTATCATTCCTGCCTGGGACTACGTCGCTCGTAAACCGTGCGAATGGAGGCCAGGACCGCCTTCAGATCCGTCGAAGAAAACGTCCCATCGCCAAGCATGGGGCCGCCACGAGGCAGTATGGTCGTGGCTGGTAGGGCTTTGTCGTTACCGATGCTTCGGAGGGCTCTCGCTACGGCTTCGTATCAGACCCTAGTTGTGATGGGCGAGATGCCTTTGGAGATGGCTGGGATGGCTATACGTGGAGTTATGTCGGCTACAGCGGTTTCGGGCAAGTTTGGTTCGGAAGAGGGTCTCGCTCGGGAGTCGCGAGTGTCACCTGGACTTCCTGGGTTTCAGTTTCCTGGGGATCCTGGAAAAAAAAACGATTAACTGGAGCCAGTACGTGGACGATCTCTTGGCTGGGAGTCTTGGTATATGCTGCTCCTGTAAGGATTATTATATTCAAAGGGTGTTCGAGGAGCCCTTAAGTGTTGTGTTTATGTCGGACAGACATCCAGGAGTCTTAACTATGGCCCGACTGACTTATCTTGCCGCGCTTCTGAGTATAGCTTGCAGTTTACCCTAAGAATGTGAACCGTCCTTGGTTGTACTCGTGGCCCGTGGTTCAAGACCGTGCTCGGACGAACACCATTCCGTGGGTGGGGGCCTTGCCGTCGCCGTTCGGGGTGCTCCGAGGTGTCCTCATTGGCCGTATGTGTCGTGCCCGCCGTCTACAGCTATGCCGTCTTAGCACCCAGATGCACATCCAGGAGTATAGATTGGAGTTGTTCTTTCTTGGGTACCCCAAGTATATCCTCCACGGTCTCCTGCACTCCCTGCCCAACTATCCCGCTGTCCGTTTGGCTCGAGAAAGTCTCCGATCCCGGATTCGGGCCACCGCGGAGCTGGACAGGCAGAAGAGTGATCTCATGGGAAAAGGAGGTGCAGGTCGTGGCGACAGCTTCGGCGGCAAAGGTCGCCCCCGTGAAGATCTTGACCGTGACCGTGACCGCTACGAGCATCGAGGCAAGCGAGATCGGGACCGCGATCGTGACCGACCGAGGCGTCGGACACGTCCGAGCTCATCGTCGGAGTGAGTCGAGAGGCCACCAGGAGGCTCGGAGGCTCGATCGGCACAAGCGCTGGATGTACAAGCACGAGGCCTTCGTAGACCAGAGAGAGCAGGAGCTTCGTGACCACGAAGTACGCCGTCAGGGAGAGATCATTGCCAGGGCGATGCAGGACTCCATCGATCGCACCTTCCATGAGAATGCCGTCCAGGTCCACACGCCGCCGCGAAGAGCGGGGTCAGGCAACGGCCCACCACCATCCCCAGGCTCGGGATCGGTTGCTGCCACACCGCCCGCTTCCACCGGTGCTGTGGACCAGGGCGTCCTCACGAACATCAAGCGTATGCTGGTCGAGACGCAGTTTGAGTACCTGTTTGATCTTGAGGATGGGAAGGAGGAGACGTTCACGGAGACGATCGCCAGTGCCTGGGGAAATCGCAAGATCAGTCAGATTGCCAACAAACTTTTCAAGAAAAACAAAATCACGGAGCCCAAGCGGAAGGACGAGAGGATCGCGAAGCTGTGAGACTACTACAACAACCTAGTCTGAGAGTGTGCCGAGGCGCTCTCGGACGCATACGACGCTGAGATCTTCTTTTCAAAATCGGGTAGAGTTTCTGTGAAGCCGCAGTTAACTTTGTATGTGATTATCTTTGTTCTTGGGCTGATAATCGGATATACTTCGTGCACATCCGTGGGATGTGGATCGCCTGTGTCTGAGTTCACGTCCGCCCTGTTGAGTTTCGTGTGCTGAATGGCCAGGCCGCTCCCCTCCTGTTCCCGAGTTTTTCGCAGAAGATTGCAAGTAGTATCGTGAGAGGCATCTCGACCTTAGAGATCGACGGGAAGCTTGTGGGCCAGGCCGTCAGGACCGCGTGGGGACGTTAAGCCAAGTTGGGTTGTTTTTGGCCGTGTTTTTTTTTGTTGCTCCTCCCTCTCCCTCTCCCCGTCCTTGGTCCCTCCTCTCCCCTCCTCTCCCTCCCCCCATCCCTGCCAGAAAAAAAACACACGTGTGGGGGGGGGGGCCTCACGGGGGAAAAAAAGCACACACACAAGACATAACAAAAAAACGCAAAACAACAAAACAAAACAAAACACACACACACAAGGTTTTTGTGTGTTGTGTGTGCTCCCGGCACGCAGAAGGTTGTTTTTTTGTGTTGTGTGTTTTTGTGTGTGTGCTTGTTTTTTGTGTGTATCTGTTGTGCTCCCGACACGGTCTGATCTAGTTTAGGGTTCCCGTGCTAGGGGGCACTGCTTGTGTGCCTGATCCCCGACCGTGGGAGGTCTGTCGGGTTCGGGTACACATTACCGGCCTCGAACGTATCTGTATCCCCAAGATTGACTGGCCAAAAGGCGATGACAATCTCAGGGATCCGCCCTCAAAAAACAAGGGAATCCCTAAGATTGGCATCGCGATGAGGAGGTGCCTAGCATAGGGATAGGGATATGTTCCAGGCTGGTCAACACACCCTGTCCACCCACCCCTTCAAGGACCAGGGCCTTCCCTCCCTGCGAGAGGTGTGTGCCCAGGAGCCCGTGCTGGCAGGATCCGCGGATGATGACTTGGCTCTTGGAGTTGAGCCTGACCCTATTGCGCTGCACCTTGTCCCAACGCGGAGGGACACACTTTCTCTCCCGTGGGCGCGTGTGGCTCGAGGTCGTGCCCCAGAGGAGCCCGCTCTTCCGCATGGACGCTCAAGGAAGCGCTGGCGGTCCTTCGACTCAAGAATCGAGCCCCGAGTGGCCCAGTGGTGCAAGAAAAACGGAGAGGGCCTAACGGCCGACGCCACTCTGCATCCCCAGCATCGCCGTGGAGAACACACACACTTACACACTTACACACTTACACACTTACACACTTACACACCTACCTACACACACACACACACACACACACACACACACACACACGCACGCACGCACGCACGCACGCACGCACGCACGCACGCACGCACGCACGCACGCACGCACGCACGCACGCGCACGCACGCACGCACGCACACACACACACACACACACACACACACACACACACACACACACACACGCCGCCCGCCCGCCCGCCCGCCCGCCCGCCCGCCGCCCGCCCGCCCACACACGCACACACACACACACACTTACACTCGCTTGCACGCGCTGACACACTCACACACACACGTACACACGTACAAACGTACACACTTACACATTTACACATACACACACTTACAGTCTTACACTCTTACACACTTACACACATGTATACACAACCACACACACACACACTGCGCTCCTCCCACGCCTGAAGATGCCGTCGACGAGACACCATCTGGCACGCTCAGCACCCCAAAAAATTGACATGTCTCGTCGGTGGTTGAAAGATGGGGTCCTGAGGGATGGGGTCCTGAGGGCGAGGGGCCTCAAACAACGTAAATCTACCCTTGGATCCGTTCCTATCCTTAGGACCCCATCCCTCGGGACTCCATCCTTGAGCCACCGATCCCGGAGGCGCATCCACCACTTTCACCCGCTTCCGCCGGCGGACACGCCCTCGTGCTGCGTGAGCGCCCTCCTCCGCCGCCCTTCGCCAGCAATAAGAAAGGCCAGCCCCCTGGTGCCCCGAATGCGCGGGGGGCTTTCTCTTCCACTGGCTCCCGATGTGCTGCGAGGCGGGGGTCGTGCCTCTCACCCTCGCCATCGCTCGGACGTCCATTCCTCGTGTATTTTTCGATTTCGCGCGTGTTTTTTTCGCTTTGTCATCCAGGATGCTCCTCCATGTTCCTCGCCGAGAAAAAATGCACACGTCCGAGCGATGCCAAGCACCACCGCCAGGGGGGATCGGTCTCTGAGGACCTCCGGCAGGCGGTGGCTACATGGACACCTCTGGCCACCCCAGGGCCCGACCGAGTGTCCACATCCGCCGCCAGCCTGCGCCCCCTTAGGGCCCATCCCCCACAGGCGGTGGTGGTGGACAGCCCCCGACCTCGGACGGATTCAGGAAGAGGAGGTGTGGAGGATGGGGGTGGAGCGGAGGTCGAGAGGGTGATCGACTAGACTGCATTGATTCACCCCAGACTTGATTTTCCCGTCGAACCTGCGGAAAAATGCGCAGACTCGATGCGGCAACCGTTCCAGGTATTTGTTGCGCAGAAATCACGAAAAAAAACAAATTTAGTTTTGTTGCATCCTCGGGGGACCTTGTCCCGTCGCGGATCTGTCGGCGTCGGATCCGTGTCGAATCCATGTCGGACTCGTCGGATCCGTGTCGGATCCGTGTCGAATCCTCGTCGAATCCACGCCAAATCCGCGTCGAGTCCGCATCGAACCCGCGTCGGACACAGGAAAAAACACCAACTTCGGGCACAGGCGAGGTCCCCCGAAGATGCAACGGAAGTTCGGGGTGGATGCATGCTGCAGCCGGTCGATCCCAGGGAGGGGGCGAGGCGTGGGGCGACGCGGGCGCGCAGCGGCCCCCAGCGCTCACTTGGCGTTGTCCTGGGCCGGGCCCCCCCCCAAGGGGGGCACCACATGGGGTGCTGTGGCCAAGAACCCACCCCTACCCCTCCTCCTCCTCCTCCTCCTCCTCCTCCTCCTCCTCCTTCTCCTCCTTCTCCTCCTCCTCCTCCTGCTCCTCCTCCTCCTCCTCCTCCTCCTCTACCCCCTGCCCCCGACATGGACAGGCCACAACGCCATCGGCGCCCCAACCGGGCGATGCCCCTCGCAGGGGCAGGGCAGGGCTCCAGGCTGGTAAACAAGGACCTCGTGCCACGCGTGTCGCGGCGGCGGCCCCGGCGACGCGCCCTGCCCTGCGAGCCAATCGCGAGCGTGTCGCTCCGCTTCGCGGGGCCTGAAGTGGACGCTCGGGGACCCGGACGTGGCTAGCGTGCCGCACCGTGCCGTGGTGGCCAGGGCCGGCGGAACGACACGCTGAGCTGAAGCTCCAGACCGTGGATCCCAAGAGCTTCGGACCTCCCGACCCCTGCCTCGGGACATGCCTGTCCCCAGGGCCTCCCGACCCCCACCGTGCCCCCAGGGCCTCTCGACCCCTACCTCGGAACATGCTGGTCCGCCCGGATTGTTCTTTGCTGGGCGCGGATCCCACAAGCAAAACCTCGCTTTCGCGCCCGAGGACGCCTGTCCTCTCCACTCTGGGCAGGATGCAGACACATGGAAATAGATTAGACGTTCCGAGATTGTATACTATTTCTGGTTACGGTCGTTACCCCAAGGGGAGTGGGGGAGGGACCCCGTGCAGTGGTAACACTTGGGTTACGTCGCCCTGGAGCAGGTAAACTGTCGAGATCTAGGTCTCGTTCAAAGTTGAAGTCGCTGAGCGGGCGAAGTATGAGTGTGAGCTTGTCTGGATTTGAAAGTTTGGAAAAAAGTTGGCCCAGACCCGGAGATTTGAAAACCTCAGAACGAAGTTAGAAAACAGTTTGAAGACAATTCGGGCGGGCTTGGATGTATGAAGTTTGTAATAACTTGGGAACAGTTTGAACAGATAAAAGTTCGCCGACATGTGAAAGTTTGAAGTGTTCGAAACATTGAAAGTGTTCGGCGTAGTTGGAAGCTTCAGAAGGTTTAACAACGCTTGGAAATTGTATTCACGTGTTGCCATACCTGCTCAGACCTGCAGGCGGATTTTAGAAAAAAAGAAACAACTAATCAACCGTCAAAAATGGTCAAAAGAGGTCAGAGAATCGCCACCGGACTATGTGTTCACTGTTCTTGCATAGATTCCTCCAGCTCCACCCGTGCTGGCCATGATGGATGGCCGCCCCACGACGTGGCCAATACCGCGGGATCACATGGAACGCCTCCAGTTGAGGGATGCAAAAATGCCACTACCCTGGTTTACAAGTGCGCGGTCTGCAAACCTCCTGGGAGCTCCCAAAGGCCAGAGAGCCGCCAGGAGGCCGCGCGACACGCGCGCTACGCAGGGTTTACCCTGTCAGCCCACAGGAGGTTCAAGGCATAGCGCCTCGTAAACCAAGGTAGGTGAGTTTTTTTAAGCCCTTGATCCAGATCCCGAGGCCCGAAAGCGGCATCCAGGCACATCGCGAACAGCACACCAACAGTGTGCAGAATCCAGGCCGTTGGAGTCCTGGGCCCCTCTGATGGGGGCCCTCTCGAGGCCGGGGAGGAGGAGAATAAGCAGGAGGAGGAGGAGGAGGAGGAGGAGGAGGAGGAGGAGGAGGAGGAGGAGGAGGAGAAGGAGGAGGAGGGAGCAGGAGGAGGAGGAGGAGGAGAGGAGGGGGAGGAGGAGGAGGAGGAGGAGGAGGAGGAGGAGGAGGAGGAGGAGGAGGCCCCTCTCGAGGCCCGGCATGGTTCCTCCTCCACCCAGCGGCTGCGCTTGCCGTTCTCCCACTCGCCCTTCCTGCCGACTCCATCCTTAGCCGTCGCAGGTGGCGCTGGCGGGCGCAGGGATACCTCCTTGCTCCTCCTCCTCCCTCTTCCTTCTCCTTCCCCTCCTCCACTCCTCCCCTCCTCCTCCTCCTCCTCCTGCACATCCTCCCTCCTCCTCCTCCTCCTCCCCTCCTCCTCGTCTTCCTCCACCTCCCCACCTCCTCCTCCTCCTTCCTCCTCCTCCTCCTCTGCCTCCTCCCCTCATCTACGACCTCCTCGCTCCTCCACGCCGTTCCTCCCCCTCCCCCTACCCCTACTCGCTCCTCCACGCTGCTTCTCCCCCTCCTGTTTCTCCTCTTCCTCCCCCTCCCCCTCCTCCTCCGCCTCCTCCTCCTCCTCGTCATGATGATGATGATGATGATGATGATGATGATGATGATGATGATGATGATGATGATGATGATGATGATGATGATGATGATGATGATGATGATGACGATGGTGGTGATGATGATACTGGTGATGATGATGATAACGACGATGTTGATGATGATGATGATGATGATGATGATGATGATGATGATGATGATGATGATGATGATGATGATGATGTTTATGATTAAAATAATGATGATGATCATCAGCATCAGCAATATAATCATCGTCCTCATCATCAGCACCATCAACATCATCACCATCGTCAACATCACCATCGTCATCCTCATCATCAGCATCATCAGCATCATCCTCATCGTCATCATCATCAGCATCATCACCACCATCATCATTCACCGGGACGAGCGCGCCGACCAGCCTGCAACAGACGAACCCGCACGACCAGACAAGGACTGGAGACACGGGCACGCGTGAAGATGTATGATGTACTGATTGTTGGGGACCGATCTCGAGCATCGCACATTCTCCGTACTCTATTCAGCATGGCAACAACCCTCGTGCGCTGGATGGCAGCGCTGGTTGATCCTCGCGTCGCGCTCGGCTCATCTGACGCTGGCGGGCCGCCTTGCCATCCTGGGCTGATCGATGTCCGCGGGCCTCACGTGCCCGCGTGACGCCCTGCCGCTGCCATACGCGCGGCAGCGGCTCTGACTTCTTCTCCTCTCGCAGCAGCCCCGAGACGGGCATCGTGTTGCCGAGCATCGTGCGTGAACGCCGAGGGCTGCCCTCGTGGCTCTGCTGGACGCCATCTGGGCAACAAAATCAGCATGGGCGAAACGGAACCTGAGGGAAACGAGTCCTGGGCCCCAGGGCCCCGAGGACCAGGTCCTCATCCTGGGTCGTTTTTTCTGTTGGCCCCGGGGCCCGTGGGTGGTCCCGAGGGCCCGAACACGGAGGGAAAAGAGCGGGACGCGCTTCCCCTCTCGGGACCCGCTCCCACCCCTGGCGAGGCGCACCTCCTGCGTGGCCGTGGCGGAAGAGTGCGGCCCTGCGGCGCGTGCGGACTCCCGGGCGGGGTGGCGGGCGCCCTGGCCGGAGCTGGCCGACCGAGCCCCCCGGCACGGTGGGCGAGGCCGCCCACCCGAGGAGGCGTGCCGTGCGTGCTCGGCTGGGGGGGGGCAGACTCCGGGGAGGTCTCCGTCAGAGCGGGCAGGGACGACCGAGCTCGATTCGGGGGTGGATCGGGATGCAAACAGACTGGGCCAGTTGGGGGGCAACCGGGCTGGATACAGCGTCATCAGCTACGCTTCGGTGCAGCATGCCCTACCGCTCGAAAAGGCCATGTGTGGGTAGTATGCACCCACCGTCAGGGCCCCTTACTCGTAAGGCCCCTGGCGCAGCCATGAATAACCAAGGAATAGTCATCCCTCCTCCTCCTCCTCCCCCTCCTACTCCTCCTCCTCCTCCTCCTCCTCCTCCTCCTCCTCCTCCTCCTCCTGCTCATCATCCTCTGTCGTTGTTGCGCGGCGGGTGCCGCGGAAATAAATGATAAGCTGCCCCCTATTATTATTGGTGGGACCCCAGTCCTTCAATAATGCCGCCGGACAAATAATTAGTTACCCCCTATTGGGAGAGGTTCTAACGACCTTTCAGGGTTACCGCTGCTCTCTGGGCCTCGCCCTGGGTGTGCTCTGACCAGAACTTCGAAGCGAATCCAGAGGGGGCGGTGAGGGGCCTCCCAGGAGGGAGGCCCCAAGAGGGCGAACATGAGGCAAGGGTAGCAGTATGTGCTAGAAGAAACGCAATCGCCATAAGCATAACAACTCTTGGTGCTCCGCGCGGATTTCTTGGATGCGCTGGACACCCCTCCCTGGCGCGCGGAGCGCGCCAGGGGCGGCGACGGAGGCGCCGCCAGGGGGGCCCAGCGCGGATCCAAGAAATCCGCGCGGAGCGCCACCAAGCTTATGTTTATGGCGTTTGTTCTTCCCCTTCTTTTTGAGATCTTCTTCTTCTTCTTATTATTATTATCCTTCTTCTTGAGATCTGATTATTCTCCTTCTTGAGATATTCTTCTTCTTGAGATATTATTCTTATTCTTCTTATTACTATTATTATTCCTCTGCGATGGGTACGCCCGCCCGCCCGGCCGAGGCCGGGGCCGCAGAGTAGTACTTGCCCTCCCCGTGCTGCTTCCCGTCCTTCCAGGACCCCTCGTAGCGGCGGCCGTCCGGCCACTTGAAGGACCCGTAGCCTCTGGGCGCCGCCAGGCGGCGCCGCCGCTCGAGATGCGAGGAGGAGGAGGAGGAGGAGGAGGAGGAGGAGGAGGAGGAGGAGGAGGAGGAGGAGGAGGAGGAGGAGAGAGGAGGAGGAGGAGGAGGGGGAGGGGGAAGAGGAGGAGGAGGAGGAGGGAGGAGGGGAGGAGGAGGGGGAGGAGGAGGAGGAGGAGGAGGAGGGGAGGAGGAGGAGGAGGAGGAGGAGGAGGAGGAGGAGGAGGAGGAGGAGGAGGAGGAGGAGGAGGAGGAGGAGGAGGAGTCGAGGCCACGGCCAGGGGGGGGGGGGGGGGGCGAAAGGGCAGGATAGCACAGGGTAGGGTCGAGAACGATCAGCTCACGCAGCTGCTTTTCGAGGCGGCGCCGCCGCCCGAGAGGCAAGGGGATCAAGGCCACGGCAGGGGGTAGCGAAAGGGTAGAACAGCACAGGGTAGGGTCGAGCGGAGAGCAAAAGGATAGAGTAGCAACGAGAAGCGCCGAGAATCAGCTCACGCAGCTGACTTTCCAGGCGCCGCCGGGAACCACACCCATGATGCATCGAGGGATGTGCCCCGACGGCGGGGCCGAAACCGGCCGCAGGCAACAGACTTCAGAACCCCGCTGTCCCTATCCTTCGGGTGTTGCTAGAAGTAGGCCCTGGCCCAAGCTACCCCCAAGATTCTCGGGGTGGCCCCAATCAGAAGCCACCTCCATTATCGCCCATTTGTGAAGCTCGATCTGCCGCGGAGGGCTCTTGTCGGCATAGTTCAGCTGTTGGCGCACCGCCTTGAGTTGCAGCTGGAAAGCTTCAGATTCGACTAACTGTCGAGGAATGCGATGTGACCGGGAAGACGTTGTAACTCTCTGGGCAAGCCGAACGAAGTGTGCAGCATGGTCAGTGGCAAATCGACCTGCCAGTTCTCCAGGACATCCAATGACCGCAGGCTCCGCGGCAGGTTGTGTCAACGCCCAACCAGGCCAACTGATCCACATTCTGTCCACTACAGTAACCGCGCGGGAGCGCCTGTCGTAGCGCGTGGGCTCGTCCGACGAGATCTCCGTGAGTAGAGCATGAGCCCATCGGGCCGCGCGCGCATGCTGGCCTTTACCTTCGGCAAGAGGGCGATGATGCTGGTGTAGAAGGAGGCTTGACAGCGTAGTTCAGAATGCATTGAGTGGGAGGCATGGTGAGGTCATGGCTGCGCACATTGAGGTGGAAGATTCGGGGGGGCTCTAGTTGCAGCGCTACTCGTTGCACGCGGCCCTGAACTAGAGACCAATGAGAAACCCCAGCGGGACATCCCGCAGGAAGAACAGTAGCAACTCCACCTTTACCTGCAGGCCCCTCGCAGTAGCTGGTGAAGAGGCGCGCGGCAGGGGCCGCCTTGGAGAGAAAGTCAGCCAACTGCTTCTCGTCCTGGTGCACCTCCTGGAGAGCAACGACTCCACAGGTGAAGCCCAGGCGCGCGAGGCAGGCTAACTTCGGCTTCGCGCGCGCACCATGGCACTGCAGTCGGGCCCTGGTCTTCCACGAGGTGCACGGGAAGGTTGGCGTGCCAGGCAAGCGTCCATGAATGGCCTCCGCGGGTCCTTTAAAGGCTCCACTCAGCTGCCTCAGAAGGCGCAGTGATCGCCTTGGCAGCAGCGGCCGGGCGTTCTTTGGGAAGGCCCAACTTCTGGGCGATGTTGTCAGCCCACGCGATCTACGATGCAACGTTGCCAGTGTTGGGTGACAGATGAAGCACGGGATCCCATCCTTCCACGATGTACCCGCGGTCGCGATCGAAGAACCACCTCTTGTCACTGGCGATCTCGCGGGAACCTCACGACGCTTGCAGCCTTGAATATCGAGCTTGGCTCGCCTCGGGTTCTTGCCCGCGCCGATGTGAAGGTTGACCTGTTGATTGTCGGCAGCTGTGACTTCAGGCCGTTTCCATTGGCCAGGGGCGATGCGCTGAGCGCCGACGATCTGAATGACACGGCGGGCAGCTGGGTCCGCAGCACCAGTGAACTGGATGACGGACTGCCTTGAGACAGGCTCGGCCGACGAGGTAGTGAAGAACTTGGCATCGACACCACATTCGACCACCCAATATATAAGAACCTGTTTGACAGCGTCGAGCTCCACAAGCTTAGATGCCATGACTCTGATGGTCGTCGCATCGATCTCCCTGTCGAAGCCTGCAGAAACTGGCAGGCACTGGCGTTGGCTTGGCGCTTGCGAGGGCCAGTGCACCACGAAGCTCTTGAATGTGTTCACGGAGGGTCTGCAATACTGTATCATGTTCGTCAAGCCCGCTTTCACATGCGCGAAGCCTGATCGTGTGGCCGTCGAGCTGCTCTTGAAATTCCCGCTGGAAGGCATACAGCTTGTCAGTGCAAAATCCAACATATGCTTTTCGCGCCATGTTCGGGAGCTGTTGAAAACCTTCTGCCAATGCGCGAGCAGCAGCAGCATGGCCAGCCAGCTGAGATGCAAAGTCCTTGACCTGCTCAGACACAGTCGTGGAGACGACGGCGGTGAAGTAATGGACGGGCTCGCCGCGGTGCTCAGCCAGCTTCTTCGAGATGCAGTCTCCCGCGAGCTGCTTGATGTAGTCATATTTGGCCCACTCCTCGTCGTTGACGGACATCTCGGCCTCAACAGCAGAAGGGACGACTTCAGCGGTAGCAGCACAAGAATCAGCAACATTTGAATGCACAGGAGAACCGCTTGCAGCATCACCCAAACTGTCACGATCCACGGGAGCACCAGACTGTCCACGAGCCTTCTTGGGTCCCTTTTTTGGACCTTTCGCACGCTTGACAGCAGAGGCGACATCATTGGGCATGAGTCTCTGTGCGCTTGGGGCAGCAAAAACGGGAAACACCTCCGTTTACCCACCACCTCCAGCGCTGGGCGCGTGGGAGAGAAACCTGCCAAACTTCAGGAAGTCTTGCCTGCCGCGGACTAGCGGTATCCACGTTCTCCCCTGAGGAAGACATCACCTTGAGCCTCGAGCCAAAATGGCTACGGAGGAGGAGGAGAAGGAGGAGGAGGAGGAGGAGGAGGGGAGAAGGAGGAGGAGGAACAGGAAGAGGAGGAACAGGGGAGAAAAACAAGGAGGAGGAGGAGGAGGAGGAGAAGCGAACGTACCCAGAGGAAGAGGAGGAGGAGGAGGAGGCGGAGGAGGTGGAGGAGAGTAGGAGGAGGAGGTGGAGGAGGAGGAGGAGGAGGAGGTGGAGGAGGAGAAGGAGGAGGAGGAGGAGGAGAGGAGAGGAGGAGGAGGAGGAGGAGGAGCAGGAAGAGGAGGAAGACGAAAAGGAGGAGGCAGGAGGAGCAAGCTACAGAGGAGAAGCGTGACCAGGAAGACGCGGGGCAAGAGCAGGAGCAACCGCAGAGGCGAGACAGGCAGGAGGAAGCCTCAACGGGCAGGAGGAGTGCGAGAGGAGGAAGACCGAGGAGGGCTGGAGGAAGGCCAATTGAGGAACAACGAACTGCGTATGGTAGGTTCGTGCGGCGATGGCGCGCGCGCAGCAAAAGTTTTCGACACCGCGTCGACTGTTCAACCTTGAATCGATTGCGGCCCTGAACGTTCAACATTGAATTTAGTCAGGTCCAGTGGCGTTACTGTGTCCATCGGTGCTTCCGCGTCGCACGATTCAACCTTGAACGCATTCGCCGGCGTCGCGGCGCGCCAACGCCGTGTGAACCTAGCGTAAACATGAGTTTTCGGAGTTCGGCACGGATCTCTTGGATCGGCGCCGGAGGCCCCGCGGCCAGAGGGGGCCAACGCTGATCCAAGAGATCCGCGTGGACCTCCGAGGAATTGTGTTTCTGCCGTCTCGTGCGCTGCGAGAGGAGGAAGATGGGAAGGCGGAAGACCAGGCTGAACCGAGCGCACAAGGGGTGCCATCGGGCGCGTGCCGGAGCTAGAGGCCTCTCAGATGGGGCCGGCGTGGACAGGATCGGAGGGGGATCCCGCCGCATTGCCGATGCATTGCGTCGGCGATGCATCGGCGACGTCCGCGGTGCGACGGCGACGTCCGCGTGGAGAGGATCGGGCTCTAGGTCGACCAATGCTGAACAAGAGGACGCGATCCTCCGCCTCCATCTGCTCCGGCCATCTGGGAGGCCTATACGGTGGGGAACCTCAGGACACCGCGTCGTGACGGCGGCTCCGGCGAGACGCGGCACGATGCCCTGCAAGCGGACAGCGTGTCGCTCCGCTTCGCAGGGCGGGAGGCTGGGAAAGGTGAAGGGACCCTGGGACACACACAAATTAATAGACACAAATAACAGGATTCCCCATATTTTCCTATACTTTCGGAGTTTTGTCTTCCCCCCCACTTCCCATATTTTCGCTTATTTTCGTGGGAATCGGCGATTAATTGTGTCTGTGCGTTTTTTCCCCTCCTGGAAAGGCTCGGGAGGTTGAAGACTAGGTGGCCAGTAAGCGGATAGCGCATCGCGCCGCAACGCGATGGGCCAGAACCGGCGGAGCGACCCGCTGAGCCAGAACTCCCGCGACCGCATCCCCGCCCTGGGTTGCTTTCAAATCGTATCCCCCCCCTTCCCTGGCTAATTCAAGCTTCGCGCGGCCCGCTTAGCTTCGACCGGAAGAACTGCGCTCTCGACCCGCGCATCAAAAAAAGTTTTCAAACCGTAGCTCGGCTCTCCCGCTCCCGCCCGGGACGGTCCGGGCGACCCCGGGCCGCCCTCGGCGAGGCGCAGCCGCTGGATGGCACCCCCCGACGCTGGGAAGCCGCCGAGGACTGACGAACACGTCCGGAGGTCTGCGCAGAGGCCTACCTAGAGAAGCGGCAGGCTCAGCACGCCCAGGCGGCGTTCAGCGCCGGGCTCAGGTCCCTGCGCATCTGCTCGGTGATCCTCTTCGCCGCGTCGGCATCGAGCTCCTTCGTCGGCGGCCCGCCCCACGGCGGGCCGCCGCCACCGCCGCCGCCGCCGTCGCGGCCGCCGTCGTCGTCGTCGTCGTCTTCGTCGCCGCCGTCATCGTCGTCA